AATGGACCAATCATCAATTTGGATGCTTCGGCGAGGTCTGCCAATCGAATATTCTTATTCCATCAAAGATTCCTTTTATTTGAAAATGTGTGTTTCTTTTCTTTTCTTTTTTTATCTTCAAAAAGAGGGGACTGTGTTTCAAATTACGCATCAATTTGCATTTTTTTTTTAAGTTCTTTTTCTTTTTTCTTTTTTGACCGTCGCATATACGAGTCAGTGAATATATTTTCTTTGTTGCTATCTAGACTACAAGGTTATTCCAGTATAGAGCACCTTTATCTGGCAGATTCATTGTTTGCAAGAGTTGGTTCATAGAAGCACTTATCTATTTACGACTTTGTCCTCAGAAATTTTGTTTTCTTCTAATTCGATCCAGTAACTGTTTGATATATTACATAATGTTTCCAACGCATCAATTGCCTAGTTTTTGTTTATTTCATGTAGCATGCATGTATACGACTGAGGAAGAGCCAGCAAATAAACTTTAACTTTGTTGGTTTTTAAATACGGCTGCAAGGTTATCCCCTGTAGACCAGTTTATTTCTTTTATTTGGCCGGTTCATCGCCCAAGGGTTGGTACATATAAGCACTCTTATTTACTACTCTGTCCATTTAGAATTTCACTTAAAATGTTTGTGTAACATTATTACTATTTTATCGCATTTTTCCCGGTTCTCAGAGACTGTTCAGTTCGTTATTGCATTGTGTTGGGAAAGTGCTGATTTTAGCCATTTTTAACAGAGAAAAACCACTTGTTCCTCCATCAACGACAATAATTTTGCACTCCCTCAATAAAATAAACGAAAACCACCGGGTATTGCATGGAATTTTTGTTTTGAGTAGCGAACAAAAATCATTGAAAGTTCATGGCAACAACATGCAGTTAGCAGACTCTACTGATGTATCAGTTAATCTGCATAACGAGAGACTCGGGTTCAGTCTGACCTCATACACTCAGCTACACTGCATACCTGGTGGATCAGTAGGGTTAGTACTTATAGTTAGCCTAGATGACCAATTTTGATTTCTCTGTTTCACGGTTTCCGCATCTATGGGACGATACATTTTATGTAATAAGCGAATTAAGGGAGTTATTGACTGGAAATAGCTCTGAAAATTGTACTAGCATCAAACGTATTTGAACCTGCAGCTGCTTGGATCTTTCTCTAAAAATACATCAATATCGGGGAGATAAAAAACTGTCTCATATTTCGTTTTTCAGTTGTTCTTGAATCGCAGTTTCAACTCTTTCTTAGTAAGCTTAAATGCAGGCTTTTAACATTGACTTTGCTGCGATCCAATAAACTCAAGAATGGTCTGCAATCGGATAAATTTCCTGGGGGTACTTCTTTATCTAAGTTTTCCCCGGGGTATTATTCCGGCTATATAACTGATAGGACCATATAGTTATCCGTATTATATTATGCCCGTTTGGTATGTATAATATATAGATTTAGCCAGCGCTAAAAGTGAAGCTCTCTTTAATATTTATAGATTCCTCAAAGAAAATATAAAATCGATGAATACTAAAGACAAGTTGAAAGCAACGAGAACGCTAAAAACAACAACAATAGATCTAATTAGCAAAAAAAACAAGTTTGCACGTGCAGCGCACTTTTTTTTCTAATTAGCAAAAAACATCCCTGCACGTGCAGCAGTGTTTTTTGTGCATTTCCTTACCGTTGTTTTACACGACTAACGTGAAACTTCTTTTAGCTTCCTATTTACTCGTTTTATGGAAGAAATGTTTGTGTTCCTGTTCACTCTATTTTTTCACTGCCGCTTCTTTTTCACATTAATAGCCGCTAGCATTCTTCATTTTCCAACCGCCGCTATATAATTTTCATGTTTTTCTTCCAACGACGTTAGTCTCCATTGTTATTTATTTCTCCGTCCTGACAAGTGTGACACTTGACATCGGCTTACATGAAGTGTGTGTACGCGTGGGCGGGCGGGCGGGCGGGCGTACGCTACGTCATAACCAAATTTTCTCGGATGGATAGTTTACCAAATTTTCTTACCCATGGTGCTCCGCTGGCGCGCTTCGCGCGCGAGAGCTCCGATGTAAGCTGTATAGCTATACCCCTTTTGGTCTGAAAATGGTGGAGAGAATTTATCCCCAGTTTTAACCTGAAATAGAACAGAGTAAGGAAAGTCCCATTTTTTGGTGTGAAATAGGCTAAGGGATTTAGGAATTATATTACGGCGCACAGCCCCACCGCAATTTTCCAGGGCCTCCTCTTTCCACCCCGACTCGTGGTTATGCATCGGTTCTCCATCACCAACGAAATTCGTTGACATTTTTTAATGTCGATGAATATTATTCAATATTTTTATATGTCAATAGATATTATTTAATATTATTTTATTTTTTACAAGTTTCGACGATGGCTGACTTGACAACATTGATAGTTATCAGTTCCTTTATCATGTTCCCAGCTGTGATGATGGCACAGGAAGTTGTAAACCATGGAGGTAATGACTAATGACATCAGGACCAAAATTTTATTGCGCACCTGTTTGTAGGCATTATGTTTAAGCACCCTGTTGCTGTTGCTGTTTCATATACAGAAAGCTTTAAAAAAAACATTCTGAAGTAAAGAAAAATGAAATAATGATTTTTACACATGAAAAATGTGCGATCAAGACTTCAAAACCAGCCAAACGCCTTCGTTCAAGACTGATCCTCTGTTTTACTTTCTTAATAGTTTTTAAATGAATTTGTATCTTTGAAAATCGTGCTGCTATTATTATTACTATTATTATTATTATCATCTTCATTTTTCTATTGTTATAAAATTATAATTATTCCTGTTCCTATACTACCGTGGCGAAGGTTTATAATAATAAACGTCAATAATGATATCTGTATTGTACTCTGGTTATTGACCTGATTGCTTAATTAAGTCTCGATGTGACTGGTCCTGTGTCAGTTAAGCCGTGTTGTTATTGGCTATGAAGACTCGGGTCATTTCGATCGGTCTTTTGTCACAGTTTAAAAGCGACGATCCAGCGACAAGAAATGGTGATGCCAACAATCACACTTCTTATTGCTGAACATGCACCATTTCCACACGAAACATTAAATCGACCGGGACTCTGCGACACGTATTACGCATTCTACAGACTACCATAACTAGCACTCACCTTAGAAAGCTGGCTTACTAAATTAGACCAAAAGCCACTGGAATAGCAGTCAACGGACACAGTACAAACGACTTATGGCGGACTCAAAACTGACAAAGACAGAAGTGACTTTATAGGCAAGAGACAATTTGACTAACAATAAACGACTATAACAACTAACGACTTTGACTATGAAGATGACTACCCGACACAGTCCTATTCAGGACTACACCTTGACGATCATGCTCCAGCTACTTATGGATTTATAATTACTGTTCATTTATTTTTTTGCTGTTTCGCAGTTTGTCCCGTTCCGATGAATAAAGAAGAAGAAGAGATAATTAAAGAGCAGGAAAGAAACAGAGAAGAAATGGAAGAGATCATGAGAGAGATTGAAATCAGTTGTTTAGGTGAGTGATAAAAAACCATGGGATGAATAATTAAGTACAAGTAAAAATAACTTAAGGAGGGTTGGGGTCGTTTTTGTTATACAAAGAACAATGTAAATTATGCATTTCTGAACCCCTTCTCTTCATTGGAAGCGTTGTCGCTCGTGGGACGAAAAAATCCCGCGCGGATATCCGGGGGGGGAGGGTGGGGGTGTACTCTGGATTTCAAGGGACAGATCCTCAAAGCTTTTGTTCCAACGCCTACTCTCCATTGTATATACAACGCTCCTCATTCAATCTTAATTCGATTATAGTGATATTGTCTGGGTTAATTGTCGAAAAACTTTGTTTGACAGGTTACAGAAGCGTGCTGCTCGTGTTCTAACCTTTTCTAGATGTGATGCTTATGCCAACCGCTTATTTAAACAACTTAATTGGAAAGACTTGAGCACTCAGTTTCAAATACAAAAAAGCCCTAATGGTTCACAAGTCTTTAAATGATCTTGTTCCCGGATATTTATCCTCTAAATTGTTGAACGATGTGAAACGCGCTACTCCCTAAGAGACTCTGTTAACAAACTGAGTGGGAACTAACGTCATGAAGAACAGCTTCAGTTATAGCGCTCTAGTGATATGTGAGGGCTAAATATTTAACAATACCAATTAACTGCCCTGAAGCACACGTACCATCACTGCGTTATGGCCAATACCTCATGCATGCGCACAACCATATCACCCAAGCAGTGGCAGTCATGGACAGCTGGTTCTCCCTTATTGGGGCTCATCCGCCTGGCATAGCCGTTGGGTCGATTAGCGGGGGATTGCTGGCGTATCAAAGAACATTTACTGCCGAGGCGAGTGCAAGCACTGCTTTAAGCGCCAGCTCCACCGTAAACAAGTGGTAGCTGTTGGTTGGGAACTGCAAAACAGTTCTCCCACGGCATGCGTATGGAGATGGTATCACTGAGAAAAATTGAACTGTGTGCCCAAATAAATTTGGGGAGGGGGGCGGGGGTGAGGGAGGGGTTTCTGATCCATAATACATAGCAACTATTCTACACATCAAATCCCCTCAGACACATTTTTTTCTTAGCAACACTTTCTCCAAGGACATATTATTTCTTCCACATCTCCCAGCCAGCAAAAATTGGTCTGAACAACAGATATTTTGAGGAACAAATCCATTGGGTGCCCCTGAGTGTAGCCTCGCAGCACTATACGATGCGTCCTTAGGGGTGCAAAGTTTCTTGATTGAAGTTTTGAGACTAACGTTCCAAGTCCTTTGACAAACTTGTTTTAGTAAATCACGCAGTGGTTGGTGACATTGAACGAAGAGTATTCATAGATTATAAAAATTTTGAACTCACTTGAACTGTTCCAAATAAACCATTTAAACAACTCTTGATCGGCTGAAACTGAAAACTGACTTTGTCGGTGGATTACTTTACGTCAAATTCTTACCTAACTTCCACTTGCTGATTTGTAGATGAGTGTAAAACAGGACTACATAACTGCCACGATGATGCATACTGCACCAACACCAAGCGTTCCTTCACTTGTACTTGTAAGCCAGGATATACTGGGGATGGTGTTAACTGTGCAGGTAGCAAACCATACGGAGCTTAAACTAACAGGATTTCATCTTTAGGTTTATGCTATTCCATACCATAAAGATTAGAGCCAATCAGAAAGCTGGAAACCGGTTTCATATTTAGTCAGTGGTATGTCACAGATCGGTAGTTTCTTGGTGTTGTGGACGCGTGCAACCACAAAATGACGTAATACAAAAGATTAAAAAGACACTGAACAATATCCTCACCACATAACAATAGCTAACCAACAATAGTTTTCTCATCACCAAGAAACACCCCACAGGTCGTATCCATGAAAAATGTTGGTGCGAACAGGCTCACATGTGCGATTTCGAGGGACATTTTGGCGTGTGCATTTCCTAGCCCTATTATTCTGGCCGGCTTTGCGTGCTTGATCCGCCAAAATTTTCTTTTTCTCAGGCTAAATTCCCCCAGCGAAAGCTTTCCAAGTGTGCAACACGTAAAACTGAGTCGACATAAAAATCGAACAAAGTCAGCTGACAATTAAGCATTAACTCTTGATTGCAGACATAGACGAGTGTAAGACTGGAGAACACCTATGTGACACCGATATTTCGGAGTGCGAAAACGCTAAAGGACATTACACGTGTGTTTGCAAAAGTGAATATGAACATAAATGTGCAGGTAAATATACCACCGAGCACTTCAAGATATGCTAATTGAAATGTATATTTAAATAATATCTTCTTCTTTTCTCGGGTTTACGTGCGGTGAATAAGGTTGAAATGATAAAGGCATCGACAAAATAGGAACGTGGATGGCATATTATTATGCTTCTTAAAACAGATCTACGGTTTGATAATTCAGCGTTAACTCTTAATTCTACCTCGTTACCATGCTGAGAGATTCCATGAGATAGCAAGCGCATGCGCCAATCAGTGCAACGTTTGTCGCCGATCAGATTGACTTTTTATCGCTGTATTTGAGGATTTTTTCGAAAAATACAGCTCTTTTATCTACTAAAAATGAGCGAGTCATTGAATTTAGCAAAGGAAACTACCATTTCCAAATTGCTAGAGATGGACTGGGCCTTAGACGCCAGTTTGAACGACTGAGACGAAGAGTTTTCCGCAGGATCAAGCAAAACAGGTGCGGAGAAGCACAAAGGCTCGCTGTCAAAAGACGCAGAGCCCACTTCTGGGACTATAGATCCCACAAAATCACTTAAATGTGATGACAAATTGCAAAAGAAGAGCGAGAAAGCACCTTCTATTGGCTCTGGTGCCTCTAAGACGGCAGTGGTCACCAAAAATGTGACAAAACCTAGCCGTTCCTCGAGGGAAAAAAGCGCGCCAAAAGAGCGTCGTAGCGGCTCAAAACAATCTGCTACCCCGGGTCAAAGTTTAACCACTGACGTGGCTGCCCTTCTCAAAGAGGCTTTTTCTGGTCTTGCGGTGGAGATGAACAAGGGTTTTAGCAATTTGGGCGATTTGCTCAAGGCAAAAAACGACGCCGCATGCGAGAATAACGCTTCTGTAGCTTCCGACTCCGAGTCGGATGACCGTGGCGGCGGCTCAGACATAGAACCTGAGGAACCTGCTCGTAAAAACAAAAAACCGATGATGGCATTGCTCTGCCTAAGGACAATAGTGACATACTTAATAAACTCGAAAAGGAGTTTAATGTCTCTGAACAAGATGGCGCTGAAATTCATGGAAACTTAACCGCTATTGTCCCAAAGTTATTGAAAGACAAACCTGAGGAAGATAAGCTGAATGAAATAAAAAAACGGTACCTCAGGCCAAAAAACTGTGATATGCTGGCCGAAACTAGGGTCAACCTACCAATCTGGAATAATCTTTCAGAGAGAGCACGTACCTCAGATCTTAAATTCCAGAAGGTGCAAAAATCCCTTATTAAGGGTACAACTGCAGTGGTCCAGGTTGTAAATGACCTGATCAGCAAGCCAGATATGCCATCAAAGGGTCAACTAGTTAACCAACTCATGGATGGTGTTCTGTTGATGGCTAATTCTAACACAGAGTTAAATCTGAGGCGTAGGGAGGCTCTAAAACCGGAGCTTCACACAAGCTACCGCTATCTTTGTGCTCCCTCAAACCCAATAACAACTGAGTAAGACATTACTGATACCAACCGAATCACTTCCAAGCTTAGTAGAGAAACTAAGCAGAGCTTCAAAAGATCACGAAGTGATGGTCACTCAGACAGATACCAAGGCAAATACAGGAATAATAATTATTATTCTGGGCTGTCAAAAAACTACCGCCGCCCCCTCTTCAGCAAGAAGGAGGGGGGGGGAGGAGGGCTGCTCAGAAGAACCACAACTAATTCATGACCAAAACGTTGAGGTAAGGGACAAAGAGTTGCAAATTGCTGGCAGGCTTAAATACTTTCTCTCTGCCTGGATGGAAATTACCTCAGACAGAAAAATTCTTGACATGGTTGAGCACTGTCATCTTGAGTTTACTGAACACCCCTATCAACAATATCCTAAGCCTCCAGTTAGATTTAACTCTGAAGAGGCTGCACTTATTGATGGTGAAATACAACAATTGCTTAACAAAGGGGTTCTTGAGGAGACTGACCCTAGTTATGGTCGGTATGTCTCTACAATTTTTCACAGAAAAAAGAAAAATGGTTCTTACAGACTGATCTTGAATCTAAAAGGACTGAATGCATCCATAGAGTATCAACATTTTAAAATGGAAAGCCTAACATGTGCTATCCAGTTAATGAAGAAAAACTGTTATATTACTTCTATAGACCTAACAGATGCATATTACACTGTTCCTGTGGCTGTTGAGCACAGGAAATATTTAAGGTTTTTCTGGAGAAATAGGCTGTTTCAGTACTCATGTCTCCCTAACGGCCTAGCATCTGCACCAAGATACTTTACAAAACTATTGAAACCAGTGTATAGCACATTGCGTAGCCAAGGCTTCTTAAATGTTGGCTATATAGATGACTCATATTTACAGGAGGACTCAAAGACAGACTGCAGAAGTAATATTCTTACTACCCTAACCCTATTTGAGTCTCTAGGATTCCTGATCAATCATGAAAAGTCAGTGTTGCAACCATGTCAGAAATTGGCATTTCTTGGTTTTCTTTTAGATTCTGTCAACATGAAAGTATTTCTTACGGCAGAAAAAACCGAGAAAATAATTTTGGCATGCCAACAACTGCTAAAGAAAAGTATAATTTCTATAAGAGAAGTTGCCCAGGTCATTGGACTTCTGGTCTTTAGTTTGCCTGCTGTCTAGTATGGACCCCTTTTTTACAGGAGTCTTGAAATTGACAAAAATACAGCTTTGCAACAAAATAATGGCAACTATGAAGCTAATATGACCCTCTCCTCAGAATCTATCAGTGAGCTTCGCCGGTGGGTGACTAACCTACCTACAGCATGCAAAAGTATCACCATGGACAACCCAGATATAGAAATGGCAACAGATGCATCGAAATTAGGCTGGGGGACGGTATGCAATGGACAAAGTGCCCAAGGCATGTGGTCCCCATTTGAAAAACAAAAGCACATTAATGAACTTGAATTATTAGCAGTCTATTTTGGTTTGAAATCCTTCCAGCCCTTATTAAAAGGAAAGCATGTGTACATTAAAACTGACAATTCTACAACTGTCTGCTATGTTAATGCAATGGGGGGCACTAAATCCCCTCCGTGTAACAAACTTGCTAAAAGTGTTTGGATGTACTGTATGGAAAATGATATCTGGCTGACTGCATGCCATTTGCCAGGTGTCCTTAATATTGAGGCAGACATATGCTCCAGACAATTTAATGAGAGAACTGAGTGGCAGCTTCAACCAGATATATTCTGTAAGATTACTGACATACTGGGTACTCCTGAGATTGATCTGTTTGCATGCAGACTTAACAACCAGCTTCCAAAATATGTTTCTTGGAAGCCTGACCCCGGAGCCTGCCACGTAGATGCCTTCTCGTTTTCCTGGAGTGGACAGTTTGTTTACATTTTTCCTCCCTTTTCTCTGCTTAACAGATGTCTGCAGAAATTAGAGAAGGATCAGACTTTAGCACTGTTGGTGGCTCCTGTGTGGCCCACACAGGTTTGGTGGCCCCGGCTACTAAGCCTTCTTGTGGCAAATCCATTAATGCTCCCACAAGACAAGGACCTCCTCACCCTCCCACAGTCAGGGACTCTACATCCTCTGAGAAAGCAAATGAGACTGATGGCATGTCTCTTGTCCGGCAGTACTATGAAACAAGAGGAGTATCGAAGTCAGCTGTTGGATTGCTCATGGCATCCTGGCGGGGGACTAAGAAACAGTACTCCGGGTACGTCAAGAAATGGACAGCATTTTGTCTCCAGAGGAAATACGATCATCTTAAACCACCTGTAGGAGCAGTCTTGGATTTCCTTTCTGAACTTTTTGACCAAGGACTTACTTACAGTGCTATCAAGTGTGCTAGAAGTGCATTGTCTTCTTATGTGTCATTGGATGATGGCTCTGTAGTTGGACAGAACCCGCTAGTTTGTCGCCTGTTGAAAGGTGTTTTCCAGTCACGACCACCCAAGCCCAAATATACAGAAGTTTGGGATGTCCAAGTGGTCTTAACATACCTGGCTACACTTCATCCTGTTGAATCGTTGAGACTTAAACAGCTTACATTGAAACTTGTTATGTTGTTGTTGTTAGTATCAGGCCAACGAGGCCAGACTATTCACTTGTTAGACATAAATCATATGTTTGTGAATGATGCCAAATACACATTTGTCATCCCTAGCCACCTAAAACAAAGCAAACCAGGGGTACCTAACCCTCAGGTTGTTCTGGAATCATTTGAACGACCCTCTATTTGTGTTGTTACTACGCTTACGGAATACCTTGTAAGAACTAAAGTATTGAGACCTAGCGGCCAGTCACAGCTGTTGATAAGTTACGTTAAACCTTATAAGCCCGTAAGCAGGGATACAGTCACTAGGTGGGTGCGTTACACTATGGCTTTAGCTGGTATTGATGTAACAAAATATTCAGCTCATAGTACAAGGGCTGCATCTGTTTCAGCAGCAAGCAGGGCTTCTGTAAATCTAGATGACATTCTCCAAACTGCAGGGTGGTCATCTGAATGCTGCTTTTCTCGTTTTTACAACAAACTTATAGCTAAGACTTCAAATTATGCAAGATCAGTCTTGTCATCTATGTAAAATGTATCATTTACATATTACTATTAAAGTGGCATGTTGTTGTTCCTTCATGTCCGTGTTGCTTTGAAGTCTCATGGAATCTCTCAGCATGGTAACGAGGTAAAATTTAAAAATTAAACGAGACTTACCTGTAAGTTGAAGTTTGATTGTGATTCTACCGAGTTACAGAATGCTGAGAGATTACATGAGATAGCAAGCGCATGCGCCAATCAGGTTTTAAAGACTGAATGTACGTGTTACCCAACAGCAGAGGGGAGGGTAGGGAAATTGGGCATGTAATCTCTCAGCATTCTGTAACTCGGTAGAATCACAATCAAACTTCAACTTACAGGTAAGTCTCGTTTAATTTTTAAATTTGCAGACAGAAACGAGTGTGAGACAGGAAAACACAACTGTAACGCCACCAGTTCATTGTGCCGTAACACTAAACGATCCTTTTAGTGTGCCTGCAGGGAAGGGCATTTCGAAAGTGCCGTTGTTTAGTAAGTCACGCCGTGGTTGGTGACATTGAACGAAGAGTATTCATATAGATTATAATAATTTGAACTCAATTGAACTGTTGTGAATGAATAATTTAAACAACTCTTAATCGGCTGAAAGTGAAAACTGACTTTGCAGGTGGATTACTTTACGTGAAATAAATTCTTATACCTAACTTCCATTTGCTGATTTGTAGATAAGTGTAAAAGAGGACAACATAACTGCCACGATGATGCATACTGCACCAGCACCAAGCGTTCCTTCACTTGTACTTGTAAGCCAGGATATACTGGGGATGGTGTTAACTGTGCAGGTAGCAAACCTGATAAGGAGCTTAAACTAACAGGATTTGATCTTTAGTTTTACGCTATTCCATACCATAAAGATTAGAGCCAATCAGAAAGCTAGAAACCGGTTTCATATTTAGTCGTGGTATGTCACAGATCGGTAGTTTCTTGGTGTTGTGGACTGGTGCAATCACAAAATGACGTACTACAAAAGATTAAAAAGACACTGAACAATATCCACACCACATAACAATTATAGCTTACCAAGAATAGTTTCCTCATCACCAAGAAACACCCCACAGGTCCTATCCACGATAAATGTTGGTGTTACAGTCGAACCTGTATTGAGTGGTCACCCTCGGGGAATGGCTAAGTGACCGCTTAATACAGAGTGACCGCCTAATACAGGTTGCAAGAAATACAGTTCAAAGAATTAGATCTCCAGTGCTGATCAGAACAGACATTTGACCCCAAATAGAAACATTCATTTCCGGCGTTTTAATGGTTTGCGAAAATAAACAAGGAAATCAATTGTTGTACCTCCTGTGTTATGAACACCGTGTGACCGTTTAATACAGGTTAAGACAATAGAAAAAGTCTCGTTGGGACTTCGCAAATGGTGACCGCGACCGCTTAATGAGGTCGAAATTACAGTACATCAAGAGAAGTAATTTTCGGGACTTTAAAAACTGATCGCTTAATACGGGTTCGACTGTAGTTGTAGCCTCTGGATCCCTAATTATTAAGAAACTATAAACTAATTATTAAGAAACCCGGCCATACACAAGATGAACCTTAAGAATAACAATTTTTTGTAAACAAATTATGTACTAAGTTAACCTCACTCTACAGCTGGCTTTCAAAGAATAGAGAGAAGCGTTGCGTCCGTTGTCTAAGAACGGATGAGTAAGGAACGAAATATAAAGACGAGCCAATGGATTATAAACAACTTGTCAAGGTTTTGTCCGATATCCCTCTAACAAGAATTGCCGCCGTGACAGCGATCCTTTAATTATGTTTGAGCGGATTAACTTTAATAGACTTCAGTTTTCATGTTTTATTCAGTCCAAATGTAGTTCATGTGATGTTACCCAAGAGAACCGTTTCTTTCAAATTTCGGCATTACATTTAGCTGCATATGTACGCATAATTAAAAAAAGAAAAGACAAAGGGAAAGGGGAAAATTTCTTTGATAACTGATCACATGACGTTTATTTGGGTAACAAAGGCATACAAGCACTTGTGCTTTAGTTGGTTGAACATGAAAGTTTGCTAAATGCAGTGCTCACCTTTAATGAAAGTACAGTAAGATGTATTATACTTCGGATTTATTATGCCACACATACTTCCTCTTTCAGACCTCAAGTAATGGAAAAAGTTGGTAAAATCTCAACCATCTCAAGACCGTCATCCACGCGCACTCTTAGGATTCCATATTATAACACCGAGTTAAACCACATTTAATTGTATTTCTCTCGTATTTTGTGGGACCCACGATCACCTTATGTCACCCGACCCATATACAGCAGTGGTAATTCTTCATATTTGGTCGCAAATTGTCTTTGGTCAAGCATTTACAAAAATCACAACCAAAGTTTCGAAAGAGTTTTGCTGTTCAAGAAACCAGCAAAAAGTGAAATGTAGCCGGTTTACGTCATACCTGAGAAAATAATGATTGTAAATTTGCCAAAATTCTGGCATTTATTTATTTCAGTGCTGAATTGCTCTCATTTGTTTTCTTATCCAGGTTGTTCCAGTGATCACTTTGAAAAATACCAAGATTTACCGACCAGAGGAGCTCACGCCGTGGAACATTTCACCATTGATGGAAGTCTTTTTCTAGCGTTCGCCAACTTTGAAAGTGACACCGCCGAAAAATATAACACAGATTCTTTTATCTACAAGTTCAACGATTTGACTGGAAAATTCTTTCTTTACCAGACCATAGGCACACATGGAGGGCATGACGTGGAATATTTTACAATTTCTGGCGAACATTATCTTGCTGTTGCTAATGTTCGTAATAAACGTACGTTCATATTGAACTCAGTTATTTATCTTTGGAATGGAAAATTGTTTGTTGCCTTTCAAAACCTTGCAACGAAAGGAGGAGCCAGCTTTAATTTTTTTACAATGGCGAAAGAACCTTTTCTTACCGTATGCAATCTCTATGATGATGTTACGACGAGTGTCAACTCAACCATCTACAAGTGGAAAAACAACATGTTTGAAAAGTTTCAGGAGATAGCGACAGAGGGATGTCGTGGAACTGATGCGTTTGTAATCAACAATGAAAGCTACATTGCCTTTGCAAACGTCGCCTCGTCGTCAACAGTAGTTTATAAGAGGGCTGGGATGTACTTCGTCGAGCTGCAAAACCTTCAAAAGCAATATGCATGGAATGTAAAGTCCTTTTACATTAATGATGATGTGTTTCTCGCCACTGCCTCTCAACCCGCACCGTCGTTCATTCACAAGTGGGATGGAAGTCAGTTTGTCCTATTTCAGACTATTCCTACTTACCGGGCCAGGGTCTTGCATCCCTTTGTTATGTGCGGTCAAACATTTCTTGGTGCGGCTAATCGGCTTAGGGGTGGCACCTACCACACAAAGTCAGTGGTGTATCGGTTCTCTCTGAGCCAGTTCACTGAATACGAGAAGATTTCAACTTTTGGAGCTATTGATGTGACGTCATTTGAGTACAAGGGTTATACTTACTTGGCAATTGCTAATTCAGGAAATGAGAACCAAAAGAACATTAACAGCACTCTGTACAGGTGGACCTAAAAAGATTGCGTATTCCTTAATTAGAGAGGCCTGGGACTAAGGTCTGGGACCTGTGGAAAATGAATTATTGACTATAACTTTAGCATAGATGATAGCGCTGACTTAAAATTTGGCACACATGAAGAACTCATTGTCCTTAACATTTTAAAGTATAAATATTGTGTTGATAAGTCACCTGATATGTCACGTGATCATTTTGTTAAAAATCGTAAATTATTGACCAATTGGTGGCTGGTTTAAGAAAAGGAATCGAGCAATAAAATTTTTCTAATTGATATTAAATATTTCTAACACTTCACGTATGGAATGACCGTCCACTGCACTTCAATAAAAAAATTATGAGGGAAAACGTCATTTTAAATGCCTAAATTTAATTTTGAATTATTTAAAACTTTAATTTTAAACTTCCTGTACATTCAATCTAAACGTATAACATTAGGTATGTTTATCCTCTCTCAGAAATACCAATTTGTTTACTTAAACAAAGTAAATTCGCCACCAATTCGCCAATTTCCTTCATTTTCAACTTTTGGTCACGCAACATGTCACGTGATCATAATTAAACGTTACAGCACAAGAAAACCTCAGGGTTTACTTTTGGGGAAAAATTCATTTTGTTCTAGGTCTCCTGGCGAGAGATATTGCCAATCATTCATGTGCTCCGAACACACCTTTGACCCAGGCCTTAAACCCCTACTGAGAGGTGAGAGGGGGCCAATAGTCGGCTGTCTGTCAAAACTTAGTTTTCGATCTTTGTCGGTCTTCGGTAAATTTCTGTTAATGAGTAGAAATGCATCTTAGTCCTTATGTAACTCACTCAGGTAATTTAAACTCTATGCAAAGTGTAGATAATAATAATAATAATAATAATAATCAACTTTATTTTTCTTGGGTGACACTTGACAGTATCAAATACTGATAAACTCGTGGCGCTCAAAACAGATTAAAAATAAACACAAATACATATAAATAATGAAGTAATAAAACTAGGAGATTTAACAATTAAAATACGAGTTATCTAAGAATTAATATGAAATATATGAGAATAAAGTAGAATAGCCTAAGCTATAGTAAAGTGATGAACATCTTTATAAGACTCCAAAAAATAGTTATATAAAGACTTCTTTAAAATTTCTAAACTAGAGCTACACTTAATTTCATTGGGAAGTGAATTCCAAAACCTAGTGGCTGATACTTGAAAAGTCCTAGCACCTTCTGATTCTCTTTAATACTTTGGACAAATTAAATTCAAAGATCCATCTCTACTTTGTCTTTCAGTAGAACGTATGTCGATGTTTCGTTTGAGTAATTCTAGCATATAATTGGGACCAACCCCGTTCAAACGTTTATAAACTAATGCGCACTGATTAATCTTAGCTTCAAGAAGAAAAGTTAGCCAATTGAGTTCTCTAAACAGATCTACACTATTTGCTCTAGTATCAGCATTGAGAATAACGCGTGCGGCCCGCTTCTGTAGCCTGAAGACCTTATTTAAATTATCAACGGATGTAGAACCCACACACTAGAGCCATACATCATGGTTTGTTTTATCATGGCATTGTAATAAAGAATTCGTTGATCTAAAGGTAAATGACGCCTGATATTTTTTCAAAACAGCAATACGCTGTGTTAGCTTCTTACATAGATTATCAATATGCTCATTAAAATTAAGCTGAGTGTCAATAATTACACCTATCAGTTTATGAGACTGGACTTGTTCAAGTTCGACTGAGCTTACATGGACAGTGAGCTGCTCTGTTCTTATGTAGACGTTTGCCAGCTAGTAACATAGTTTTAGTTTTGGACTCGTTAAGTACCATTTTATTGTCTGTGGTCCATTGTGCAACTTTACCAACATCAGCTTAAAGAACTTGAATTAAGGTTCCAGGTGCCGATCTATAATCAACATTAGCACTGATGGTGGTGTCATCCGCATATATGTCTGCTGCTGAATGTTTTAGTATCTTTGGTAGATCGTTTATAGCAGTAGTCTGTGAGTGCAGTGAGAGTTTTGGATCCTGGGAACGAGGTTTTTTTTGGCGCTAAAACGAATGCTCACTGCGTTTTGTCAAGCATAAAGCCTGGTTTCCATATGATCGTCCCGATCGTCTGAACATGTTTTGAGACGACTGGGACGATCCGGAAGATCCGGACGATCATATGGAAACAAGGCTTGAACAACTTAGAAGTTCAGCGAAGTCAACTCAGAACAAAAAGAATTTTTTTTTTTTTGTACCAGTTGACAGAAATTGTTTTTACATTCGTATTTTCTAGAATTTTCATTCATTTTGTCCTCTAGTTTGGAGTATAGAGAAAGGGAGAGGCAGAGAAAACCGGAAAGTAGGCGGCAAGCAGGCCATGCTCAACGAGAGAGAGAGCGGCAGAGAGCCAGAGAAAGGAGGCGAAACTGCACCGACAAGCAACGGGTAGCGTCTTTCGTTTTTTGTCTTCTAAACTGTCCCTTTTGACTAACATTAGGAATTTCAACGTTCTGTTCATGGGCTTGCCTCAAAGTCTTTGCCAGCAATCCACATTTCGTGTTTTCGAGTGCTCGGAAAGAAGGGACTCGTCAAACCTCAGTGTTACTGGAAGCAAAGATATTGGAATTAATGACTGACTTGCAATGGTCACATGTTTATAAAGCAGCTTTTGATTGTGTACGCAAATGGATACAAAATAACTGAAACAAACTTTAGATAGACCAGACAACATTACTTTCATAATTTATGAATTCTTTTACTATCTATTTTAAGCAATACGCACAAAGTTTCTAACGGTTCAAAAATCAGTACATGAAGTCTGAAGTCGGCACTGTATTGACCCAATTTTGATTAGTGATTAGTCAAGCGATCATCCCGTAGAAGTGATTCAGGAGAAAAACCCCCGTTAAAATTTATTTAATAAGTCGCTTGCGCGACTAAACAATGTCTCGTCTTCTCCATTGTCTGCTTCCTGCCTGATCGCAGGTTAGTGCAATTACAGTCGAACCATCCGTAAGGCCACCAGCCAAAATGCGAAGATTTGGTGGGTCGCTTACGAAAATCAAACCGCAATTGTCTCTTTCGAGAAGAGGTGACGAAACTGGCGATACACTTACTTTTTGGAAGAGAACTTATTGCATGTAAAGTTATGATATGTGTTTTTCCGTGTTGTCACTAATTCATGTAGTTCTTCGTATTCTCCGAGCAGCGTAGTACATACAGCGAACTTAGAGATCTTACAGTGTGTCTAGTGATCGCTTAAAGAGATTAAAAGAACGGAAAATTACGTAACCGTCACTCTAAATAGTGCTCGTTTACAAGGAATTCTAACGACAGGGCTTTCTGTGCAAAAAAAAATTGGTGTTTCGGTTAAATGTGTCGCTTACGGGAGTTGGTAGACTGAGAGCAGTCTCTTTTTTTCTCTTTTGAGTCACAGTATATCGAGAACACACTTGAGAGGGGATCCGGAAAGTACTCCCTATAATGGCCTGTACGCAGAGACTCTGCCCGAAGGGGGCACCCTTTTCAGGTTTCAGGTATATGAAAGGGTAGGGATTTCACGAGCGGAGGTACATGTAAGGGTAAGGAAATCTGATATTCGGTGGATAAAGGACTAAAAGGGCAGTTAAAAGGGATGCCGCGCTCTAAACAAGGTATTTGAAAGGGGGACCATTTGTCAGTAGAAAGAATAGGAAAGGGGTACCTTTTCCGTCAAAAATGGTATATAGAAGACCAATGGGTTAAAACTCCATGGAGCCTCCCCGTATAAAACGAAATTAGGTAGCCTCCCGTCCCCTCCCCCTCCGGAGATGGGAGAGGCGAAGGCGCTAGGAACGAGCCAAAATTAATTTGCATAATTTTACTTTTCCACTCGTCGCGCGTGGCTCTTGGGAGTTCGTGCCACTGGTTACCCTAGATACATATATTTTCAATTTTTTTTAGAAAGGTAGACTGTTTGACATGCCAGCTAAATATTCGGGAACCGTAATTACGTCCCTTAACTCAAACGATAGTCCATCCTGTGGGGTCATTAGCAGCTACTTACAGGAACAAAATTAACGATGAATTTTTTTCATCAATCTTGATTATCACTTATGTCCTGTTGATCGGTGGGGGAGGGAATGGAGAATCCCCTTGGAAATACGTGAGGAACACGGATATAATAACAAGCATGTTGTGGAGTTAGTTTAACTGCTGCAGCAGACTATTTAGGTAAAAAGCTCTCTAAGTTAAATTGCATATTTCTATGGTTTTGGGGGTAAGAAGGAAAGCCGACACTGTTGAATTACCCACTTTCTTTGTTTTTATTGTATCTAATACCATACCATTTAATACAGGGTGTTATTTTATTCCCCTTTCACTCATATGACCATTCAGGAGCCCATAAGCTCCTGGCTATTACAGTACCTCTTACTAGTTCTTATCTTAGATCATGGTGTTGAATAATGCCTAATAGGCGTTAAGCTTCTTTAAAAAAACAAAACTACCCTTAAACCTTGAGGACGACTTCCGTTATGGTGACTTCCTATCGCACAAAGACTTTCCAAAAATCGCCAGGGGACACTCCCACATTATAATCGTCGCATTCCCACCTGCCAGATGGTGTAAGAAGCCAGTGGTAAGCTGCCATTACAAAAGCAGCGTGGTTGTATAATCGATCCTGATCTCTTTCATGCCCCCATTTGCCAACTTTGTAAGAACCTCTTTGGTATCCCCAATCCTTGCAGGTTCTTGCTAACCGCGAGTTATCATTGCTCATGATCACAAACGAGCCACAAGAGGCAGGCATCACATCTGTCTCACCACTGAAGTATTTCACAGCAGCCTCACCTTTGCTGTTAGCAGCCGTGGTGATGTGAAATGTACGACCTCCTCTTTTTTTGCAGCGGAATGTTATCCGAGTGAAATACAAGTGCTTCCTCAGCTCCTTCATGGCGCTTTTTGTAAGTACCATCTCTTTGCTGCTTACTCCGCGGTACGATGTCTTAACTGGCAACTGAGTGGGAGATGAACCGTGCGAAACAACGTTGGATACAAGAAGCCATCCCCCTGAAATTCGATAAATGTTTATCATTGCATTTGGTTTATCAAGTCATGTGGGCCAAAACAAGCAGTAATGTTCAGTTCAAAATAATTCACACGGCGGAAACCCAGATGTAGCCTCCCATGGGCAGGAACGCGTGACGAACCCCTAAAAACCTGGGAGGCTACCGGCTGTGAACTTTATCAATGTTTTGCAATATTACTCAGGCGAACTGTACAGTACCGCAACTGATCCCGCGTGACCGTAAGTGGTCCTCAGACCGAAAATGATCCCCCAAAATGGACCGCAAATGATCCCGAGAGGAAAATCCGAGAATGGCCTAGACTTAAGTTACTGGTTCATCGTGTCACGTTTATTATCGCAACAAAACGAATTAATTCAACTGAATTAATTTAACAAATAAATGCCAAGACTGAAAAAGAAAGAAACCTTGAACATTACACAAATAAATGCAAACAAAAAAAGAACTTAAATGCAACCAGTAAAACAATAGCTCTGCTTAATTGCTGGTTAACATTAAAGCTTAACTGCACTAAACCTCACATACTGTAGAACAATTAGATGCAATAAGAAAAAATTGCTCAAATCCGATCTTTCGGATACTTCGTATGAACTTTAGAAAATGACAACTTTTGTAACCGTGAAAATCTTTGAAAACGACCCCAGATAAAAGCTCGCTCTAGTACACTGAACCCCATTAAGATAATTCTTTGCTCATGGGTACAAAATGTTCCACTTAATCGTTCCTTCGTTTCTCTTTCCCTAATGTTGTATCTTTGTAACTGTCTGTGTCTCCAGCAGTAAAGACACGGAAAATGAATATACAGGTTTGCGCCGACAGGGTCCTTACCACTAGACGCAACATTTTCACTAGTTGTAGTTACTAAGCGTATTTCGAAATAAACCAAAACCCGGTACAGAGTGATAAATAAAGGGATCATATTCCGGGGTCATATTTCCCTATTCCTAGGCGTTAAAATGAAAGAAAAATTTCCTTCTTAACTTCCTTCCTGTCCTAAATCTTCACAGCAACGAAACATCAAATGCTTGAATAACGAAAGGAGAAAAAAGTACCAAAAGAAACAGTTTTATTTATTCATTGTTCTACGCGATGTGCAAACTCTCAGCACATTCACCATCCATGCCTAAAACAGTATTCCAGTCCTCTACTTTTCACGGGATCACTTGCGGTCGACAATGGGGATCATTTACGGTCTACTTTGGGGATTGTTTGCGGTACTGTACAGAACTAGGAACCCGAGACTAAGAAATTCGTGACTCGCTAGGCGCTTGCTAGTGTGAAATTGATACTAAAACGAGGCTTGGCGCAAAAAATGCATATTATTATTCATTCAAACAACTTCTCCATGGTAGCACTTAACAGTTATAAGAAAAATTGATAAACTGATGGATTTCACGTTCCTGTTCCTCGGCAAATTGAGGATCCAAGGGGATGCTTTGTCTTGATATACTTGATATTCTTCAAGTATGAGATGTAGTTTTGCTGTTTTGGCCATGTTTTTAGGTATTAGATCAAGGTAGATATTTAGAATTTCCTGAACTTACTTTAGAAAAATGGGTTTCCCCTAGCTTCAACTCAAACCATACCTCCGTCAGTTGTCATGTCACAATATGCCTTGAAAGGACTATTAGTCCTTCCAGGGTCAATCCAGTACTCCCCGTCGCCATTGGAGATACCTAAGTCCTTGATTTCTTTGCAGGATTGAGCGGGATCGTAGGAAAACAGCCCGCGTGTCGCTACAACAAAATAGATATCAACATTACAGATCAACTGTGAAAAGAGACTCAAAATCTGACTAATAATATACAGGTAAACGGCTTCCCGGATCTTGCTTTATTCATTCAGATGAGCAGTGATTCCTGTTGCTGGAAGTAGAAGTAATTTAGAGTTGAGGCTACTAGGGAGGAAAATCATTAAAAATAATAATGCATGTGAACAGATTTCCCGGCTTAAGCCTGTACGTACTGTAGGCTAATTCCAGTTCACAGCTAAGAATCCACGACAAATGTGTTTGCCTCAGTCTAATAAATTAAAAGCAGAGAATGCGATAATTGCGTGTTCTACTGAGATATTTACCTTTACACTTCTTGCCATCTCCCTTGTAACCGGGTTTACAGGTGCAGGTGAAAGACCCTTCAGTGTTCTTACATAACGCATTTCTGTCACATTTATGGATTTTGCTTGTACACTCGTCGATATCTAAATGAAAATCATAAACTGCATTTATTTTACCTTTAGAAGGCAAGTAAACTGATAATTCTTCCTTTACATTCTATTCTTTTAAATCTACGTTACAGATGAACGCGACGGATTGTGTGGCTATGGTAGTGTTATAAAATTACCTGGACAATTTGTTCAAAAGCTGAATAAGGCTAGCCGCTAGATAAATCACCATCCAGTAGATAGCGCAGTCAGTTTTACTAATACTTATCCACTGTGTAGTGATTTATCTGATGCAAAGCGCTATCCAGCGTTTGAACAACCGGTGCCAGGGAGAATAAATACAAGCAATGGAATGAACGCACGTGCTGGATGTATAAACTATATCGTTAGGTGATCAAGAACTTAGGGTGGATTTCCACTGCCGCGTGATATTCATGTGCGTACGCACGTAAAATGTACGCGCATAAATATAATAGAGGTAGTCAGGGCCCTGGAGGCAATGTATGAAAGGCCGCGCGTAAAAGTTGAGCAAGGTTCAAGTTTTACGTTTACGCACAACCTTTGATACATAGCCGTTATTTTATATACGTACTTAAAACTAAAGCGCCTACGCACGTAAAAATTACGCGACGCTGGAAAGCCACCTTTAAAGAGCGCTAGATAGATACCTCTACACTTCTTTCCATCTCCCTTGTAACCGCGATTGCAGGTGCAAGTAAAAGATCCGTCAGTGTTCTTACATAACGCATTTTTGTCACAGCTATGGGTTTTGCTCCTACACTCGTCGATTTCTAAAAAAGAAGACAAAATAATGAAATATTGATTTCATGCGCCGAAAACACAAGCTAATACCTTCCTTGACATTTCCTCCCGACTTTCGTCTATTCAGACATGTCAGACCCCTTGGGGCTTTTTATTGCGTTCAGTCTGAATTGGGGCGACCTTGAGGTCTAAAAGTGAAATTTTCGCCTAGTTTTCGAGTTTTTTTTTTCAAATCAAATCAAACTTTTACGTTATTACCAGTGAAGTTCTTAAAGTCAAAACAAATATATACCCAAACGGAAGTTCGTAATTGTTTTGATTAAAGGAATCAAAATTCGTGTAAAAGGTTGTTCCACACTGAAAATTAAAAAGATCTGTTTCAGCCCTAGTGTCAATTCAGCCCTGCAGGCCAAAGTCTGATTCAGCCCTTCCTGGAGCCATTTGAACACAATTCAGGCCATAAAAGCTCAATCAAAAGGCTATTCCACCCCACGTTAGGGCCCATTTCAGCCCTGGGACCAAATCAGCCCTAGCTAATTGGACTGTATTGGCCCTGATTTAAGGGCACCAAATTAGACTAAAAAATAGGACTGTATTTTACTTACCGAAACGGCCGTAGTTTTAGGGCTAAAACAGATCTGTCTGATTTAGAGTGCACACATTAGTGCAAGTATTCTTTTACTGCTCAAACTTCCGATTAAATACCCACTGAAGGCTTATCAGAAAGTTTTGACCCCAAAAGATAGAGAAAATAATAATAGTTCTGTACATACACTATAAAGCATATTTATTTAGTCTATAATTTAATAAATAAAATCAGAACAGAGGACAACTAAGTCGGTCAGTTTGCGAAGCTAAAGGGCAAAATATGGACCGACAAAAGCAAAGTTCAGTACTTACCAACGCATTTGCCGCCATTTCCAGAGTATCCAGCTTTGCCCGTACATTTGTATGAGCCCACGGTATTCTGGCAAGCAGCATTCACAGTACATCTGTGATAGTTAGTTGTGCATTCGTCAATTTCTAAAAGAAATCACTGTGTTTCATTCACTCAGATTTCCTTTGCTACGTGCTTATTTTCTGAAATGATATTCTCAACTTGAATTCATCACAAAACTCTTGAAAAGAAAAAGCGAAATTACTTTGAATTTTACCAAACACTGGACACAATGCTTTAATCTCACGTTATGACACCTTAACAACTGTCTAATAAGCTCGGCTGCATGCCCATTGTTACCTTGATATAGTCGTACGAGTTTGAAACATAAACTGAAACAAAGTTAATAACAGTGGAATGGCTATAAAGCCCTACAAGCGCCTTTATTATAATAGTATGTTTTTTTGTTAAAGGTGTTTGGACTCAACCGACGGTGTGAAACGTTCAATAGCATTCTTATCATTTTGATCCTTTTCACCAATAAAAACCTAGCCTGTGTACAGATGCCCCCTCACCTCAAAACAGGGGGAGGGGGCGTCCGCTGTACACAGGCCGGCTACAAAAACGTCGCATTCATTTATTGTGAAAAAAAAAGAAAAAAAAATCTTAATCTTAAGCTTTGATGCATTCTCAACCAATCTCCTCTACTAACTATGACTGAAAGATGATACTACATTAATGTGCGCTTACATTAGATGGCTTTTTTGTTGTTTTGGTTACATTCCTGGCATAAAATATTGAAGTGAGCCACAACCCTTTACAGAACATAAGATTACCCCAGATGCCAACTAACAGATCATTTAATGTAAGTTGTAAAACGCACCTGATGACCGCTTTTACCTCGAACACAAGTATAGTTATAGCAGTTATCGCAGGAAACGTCGTTCCAAGTGTAGCCATCATTGGCACCCAGAGTGTGAACACAGTCTTCGTTTTTCCTGTTGTTTGGTTGTTGCGGAGCCCAGAACCGAAAACTGGTTATTTCCTTGTTTGTCCAGACAAATGATCCCTCAACGCTTCGGTCATTAAGTCCAATCCATGATCGCTCTCCATTATGACGGTGCTGAATGTAGACATTTTCTTCTTGGTTGTGCACTGTTACCAGATGTGAGTTCATTGCTGAACAGTTGGACACAGCAGTCACCCAAGGTGCGCATACAGAGCTTGTTAAATAGCAGTATCCATTGAAGTAATCCCATCCAGATGGACAGATGTCTGCGCGTATACAAAGTAGGAATTAGTGAACTGCAAAATGATATTGCTTAAAATGTATGGCTTTAGGAGCAGTTAAATACTTCGGGCATTTTTGTTATTTCCGGTTTTGCGAAAAAAAAGGAAATGGAAAAGCAGAAGCTTTTTGTTCAGGACAAAATTAATAAATGCAATACATAAGAGAAAAACAACTGCAAGTATTAATATATAGATTTAGCCAGGGCTAGAAGCGAAACTCTGGTTAATAATAGGTGGTTTTTTTTTTGTAGGACTAAAACGTCAAACTTACTAGTTACACATTATTTTTGTGGAGGAATGGTCGTATGTGCTTACCCAATATTTTGTCTCCTGTGTTCATGTTCGCTTTTATTTTTCACTGCCACTCATTTTCACCTTGCTGGCCGCTAGCATTTCTCATTGTCTCACAGCCGCTTTGAATTTTCATGTTTTTCTTCCTACAAAATTCGTCTCTTTTGTTTTCAATTAATCGCTCTAGCTCTTTCTCTGTTATCCACGCGAGTGTAAACATCAAATATAACGTCGAAAAAGACACGACTTTGTTGTTGTTTTTTCTTTCTAAAAGTCCGGGCGGCCAGGCGATTTCTTTCCAAATACAACCTTGAGTTGCATTTGGGTTGCCATACCGGTTGATTGAATTATTTCACATTGGTATGCCTGTGGTGCGGACGGACGGTCGGGCGGGCGGGCGGTCTGTGTACGGTCACGTGATTACCAAATTTTCTTGGATGGGTAACTTAGTTTACCACATTTTTTTACCCATGGTGCTCCGCTGCGCGCGATTCGCGCGCGAGAGCTCCGCTATAAAGCACTCCATTATACACATTAATAGGTATTTGGAAAAAGGGATGAACGTTGTTTTTTATCATCACCCGAATACAATTTTTATTATTTCCTCCAGTTTTTGTGCATTTCTTTTGTGTATTCCCTGTATTCTTTTTTTTTTTTTTTTTCATTTAGAGACTTGTAAGTACTGAAGTTTATTAGTTTTGTAGCAGTAGAGCTCTTACCTGACAAAACTGTGTACGTTACTGACAATGGGTCATATTTTGCTTCATATAATTCTTTGACACAAGCACGAAAGCCTGTCTTGTTGATGTACTGCAAGAAAGGAATATTTATCAGCTCATGAAGTAGTTCACACAGACGGCGGACGGCGTATTTTCTCCCTTGCTAGCAGAAAAAAAAACTATAGAACAGTTCAGGTAGGTCTTGACCAGAAGACTTTCCATATTTCTCAGTTTGACGCATATTAGGAAGTGATCAACCCTGTTCAACAAGTTTGCTTTACAGGGCTTCAAAGGGAAGAGGAAAGAGGACAATTGAGTGCGCGTTATTACATGTCAACAACTTAAACCTCTCATGCGATAATTGCTGTAACTGCTGTCAAACTTCAAATGTTTGGAGGCGAAATATGTCGCATTCACGGGAAAGTAGACCGCGCGCGTAACGGAAACAGCAGATAAAAATAACCTTCATCGCACGCGTGGGAACTTTCAATAGATTTCAAATAATCATCATGGGCCACAGGGATCCGCTTTCTTAGCTCATTCTCTCTTGCTTAACATCAGTTTTAGTTTTCTCATTGCTTTTTGTTTGACAACATTTGCTTACCTTCTGCTATACAGCTACACAACTTTTTTTAAACACAGTTTTAACGACTTTCCATAATTCATGGCCATTTTACTAGCTAAGGGTTATGCCTGATCGTTAGTTAAACATAAAATTTAACTTTTGGGCTGTTTTTCGCACGACCTGTGTTTTATAAGCTGTTATTCTCAATAGAACGCATTCTGTATTGTAAAATAGACAGTGTTAGTTACAGTCATTCGTATTTTGAAATTCATAAGGTTTTCAAACATGCACACAACACATGTAAGTGTGGTTGCAAGTGGTATGTTACACAAATTCATAAAATATATTAAAAAGTAGATAAATAAAAAAATAAAAACATACCTCTACCCACTCAGCTATGATGTTATGAATTGGACTCTGACGTCCATTTTTGGTGGAATGATTGGCAGAAACAAACACATGTGGACTTGAGTTATGAACTTTAGTAAAAGAAGCGTCCTGTCAAAAGAAATTGCATAATTGTAAAAATTCAGTCTCTGACATTTACATAAAGGTAAAGACTTTTTCCGCATTAGGGCATTTATAATCTATATTTCATTTTCATTTTAAATATTCATTGGAATATGACAGGCAGCCTGCTAAACTGACTAAATGCAACAACCATCACTAGAGACATGATAGGGGAACCGTTTTCTTTTGCTCTCTGATAGTAAATTTATTCAATAAAATTAAGTGCACTGTGACGGGAATTGAAACCCATAAGACTAATGAAAGGACTGGAATACTGACCTTGCAGAAGGCATTATAGTGACTCTGCGCGAGAGGTTTATCATTCGAAAAGTAAATCGAATTGTGTTCTGAGAAGGGAGGCTCGTCAAGATATGAAAACGCTAACCAATTCTGAAATAAAGTAAATAAATAAATGAATAAATAACAATAAAAAGGAAGAATTCTATTTCATTCTCACGTCCTAACTACCAAAAGATTGTGACAACGTCGAAAATAAGATGGTAATCTATCAACAAGGTTTATATAAAACAGCCACCGACATCTTAGGTTACAAGAAAGCAATAACATGGTTGGGTTGACAAAGCCGGATGAAGAGGAAACAGATGGAGGGAAATATATTTTCAAGCAAAAAATCGTGCATCTCTGCTGGACCAACTGCTGGAAGCGTAAAAAAGCGAAAAGATGAGATGAGTCTGCTGCACTTAGTTTCCAATGAAAAACGCTGTTCGTTCGATTCCATGAGATTAGTGTTACTTACAACAACAACGTCTTGGTGTGATCCAGCGTAGTTTTGCAATTCTCTCAAGCAAACTTTACAGGATGATTGTGTGACATCTTCAATCCATGCGCTTGCTGCGTCACGTTTTAATCCTGGATTGTAATGCTTGGCAGTCACAAATACCGACGGTATCCCAGAGAATTTTCCCTGAAAAATAAATCCGAATCAAGCAACTCTTAACTCTTAGAAAGCCACGAACAGGAATCAATTTCGTATTTATTGCAAAAAGGAACCCATGACATTTGTGATATGCTGGAAATTGGTAAAAGAATAATTTGCACTACCATGACGTTGTTCGACTAATGGTCATAAGTGTACGGCTGCACCATTACGACAAATCACTGCTGATGCATATTAAAAACGATCTGTTATTAACTGAGTGACCTCAGCAGAAGTGAGGCGTTTCAAAAGATATGATCTTAAAAAGAATGGGAAGGACAAGAAAACCCAACAAAGGCCACTCACTGTAGGAAACATGACAGTCGCACAAGTCGTACCAGTCCACCACTGTGACATGCGCACTTCACCAGTCACACCACCCACTGGAGCACCTTGGTACGCCATCCAGTCAACTGTCACGTTAGCATACGACTTTCGTTCGTTATATCCTGCCGCCATCACACAAGCAGTGAATCCGTCGTTATCTACATTTTCAACCCTCGATACTACCACGTCATGGACATACGATTTGTCACTGGTATCCATATGATTGACAGTTATCTGCACTTGAATGGGTTTGTCAGGGTAAACGGTTTGAAATGAATGGCATGACAGTGAGAGTAGCCCAAGGATGACATATGTGGCATGTGACGACGACCACGCTGAAAAGGAAATCCTAGAAAACACATTTCAAGATGAACTATAGATTAGTATGACAAGCATGCGGAGCAAAGGGCATTTAAAAATGTTAACAAAGCAGCAAATGAGTGGTTCTTAGAAAGAGGGTTGTTACTCTCTACCATAGAAGTCCTGGGAAAAGTTCACAGCAGACAATGTGTCGCTTGTCACTGCATTAGGTCAATAGCATGGCAAGCAGATATGGAGGGATTAGAACTTACATCTTGAGCAGTGCTACACGGTGGCAACTGGTCAAGCCTTTTAGCGCTAAGGGAAAGGAAAGTGAACATTTACTGTAGCTACTACTTCTCGCAGAGAAAAGGTTCAGTTCCAATTATGCTTAAAAAAATATAACTCTAGGAAAGGGCGTTATCCAGATATGTTAGGCAGAGCTACCTCCGGGTACGAAATGCAAACGACTACTACTACTACTACTACTACGACTACTACTACGACTACGACTACGACTACTACTACGACTACGACTACGACCACGACCACGACCACGACCACGACTACCACTACCACTACCACTACCACTACCACTACCACTACCACTACCACTACTACCACTACTACTACTACTACTACTACTACTACTACTACTACTACTACTACTACTACTACTACTACTACTATTCCAGAAACGCCCCAAAAAATCTATTGACATCAAATTCAACATAGGCAGTGAGTCAATTGAAATTGTCCAAGAATACACTTATTTAGGTACACGTTTAACTCCAACGGGAAACTTTACACTTGCACTCGAACACTTAAAAGAAAAGGCCCTTCACGCGTTTTCTAGTATTCGGAAGCGGACAATTCTTAACAAACTTAATCCTAATACTGCATCCCAAATATCTGACACCATGGTATTCCCAATCTTGAGTTACAACAGCGAGGTATGGGGAATGTACACCAAGCAAGATTTTAAAAAATGGGATAGCTCCCCAATAGAAAAAATCCACCTCAAATTTTGTAAACGTTACTTAGAGGTTAACGATAAGGCCTCTAACATAGCCTGCAGAGCTGAACTTGATAGACTGCCGCTGCTTATCCCGATGAATCAGAAAATTATGAAATATTTTGTTTACCTCAACAACAAAGATAATGACTCTATAGTCAAACAGTCTTTCCTTATGTCAAAGAATCTACATTCTATGAATAATTCCGGATATTTTTCCAATTTCATAAACATGCTTGAACAATACAATCTAACCAGTTTAGATGCTGAATCTCTAGATAATGATAAAATTAGACGATATACCACAGAAATGAGAGAGAAATATCTATCTTTTGGCGGCACAGCCTCGAAAATTCAAAAAAAACTAGAATTTTATAAAACTTTTAAAGATGAATATTCTACATCTGATTATCTCTACCAGCTAAGACATTATGACGAACGACAGAATTTTGTTAAATTTAAAATAAGTAATCACAAACTTATGATTGAACATGGTCGATACCAAATCGATCATTTGCCAAGAGAAAATAGATTATGTCCTTTATGTAACTCAAATCAGGTAGAAGATGAGATTCATTTCCTCTTTCAATGTAACAAATACTCAGTACAGAGACAGGCATTTATTACTCAAATCAATCGAATAATACCTGACTTTGACAAGAAATCATCTCCGGAAAGCATAAAACTGATAATGAATTCGAAGGAACATCATGTAAATAAGTTAGTTATGAAGTTTGTCTCCTCCTGCATGAAAATACGTGATTCATTGTTAGTAATGTAACCGAATTTTTCAAGATTGTTATTAGTGCTGTTTTGTTTTTTATTTTGATTGTCATATACATGCTTTTGCAATACTGTAAAGTGATGCGGTCATGCAAATAAAGCAATTTATTACTATTACTATTACTACTACTACTACTACTACTACTACTACTACTACTACTACTACTACTACTACTACCACTAGTACTACTACTACTACTACTAGTACTACTACTACTACTAGTACTACTACTACTACTACTACTACTACTACTACTAGTACTACTACTACTACTACTAGTACTACTACTACTACTACTACTACTACTACTACTACTACTACTACTACTACTACTACTACTTGCGTGACCACTGAAAATGGTCACTGCTTTTTAAGGTGCGAGAAGTTTAGTCGTTTTCATGGAAGGATTGAATTATACTGGTAAAAAGCTTATCAAAACGTAAATATACATGGATGAAGACAAATATGACCCCTCTTTCGAGCCTGGAGATAATCCTGGACAAAAGAAAAAGGTAACATTCAAGCCTGCCTCAATGGTGGACATGAAACCATGTGATGATCTTCACCGATATCTGGTCGACAAATTTCACTCATCCACTAAATCCAAATCAGTTTTATTCGAAGCAATCGATTTTTCAGCCTACAAAACTGCTGCTAAGGTTGTCTCCTTTGTAACATCTGAAGACCGGCTACTTTTATGGATCAAAACCTTCGCTGTGCGATACTTTGATCACCTGAACGTGATGGGATATCGAGTAACATGGCAAGAACAAGAGTCACATAGCTGCCCAACCAAAAGCGATAAAATCATCATGCACATTCACGAGGAAGAAAATAACATTGAAGATCAAATGGTCACCATAACTATCTTTATTTCCACTGGCAGAATCATGGTTCAAGGCAAAAATTCGCCGAGTGGAGTCAACAGGAATTTCCTGCACTGCTATCTATTGTTAACAGTCTCGGGTCGTCAGGAAACCTTAGCGCTGTTAGCGCAAAGGACAAATCTACATTCCATATAGAACTCCAAAAGTTTTTCACAAAGTACAAAGGATGTGAGATTGCGGACACAAGGGCTTCGGAACTAAACGACACTACCGTGGAAAATGCTGAAAATGTTGTCAGTGACATAACAGAAACAGAAACACCCAGTGCAGACAAAGGAAATACAAGAATAACGCAATTGTCAACACCCATTGAACTCTCCCTTACACCGAGTAGGCTAAACACCTTAACTACTCTTCGAAATACCGTCGGAAATTTAGAAGCCGATTTTACTGAGTTTAAAGTAACAAACGCTGGTAACCTCGAGCACCTAAAAGACAAAGCTGCCCAACTAGATCACAATTTCAAAGTACAAACAACAACCCTAGGGGGCCTTGCTGATGATCTGGAAAACAATACTAAACTTCTAAATCACGATTTACAAAAAACACGCTGACTTAATTTCCAAATTACAGAATGAAAATCAAGCACTTCAAAAGAAAAATGCGAAAATATCGGAGGATAACGCAACCATGAGAAGAACACAGAACCAGCTTGAAGCGGAAATCACCTTTCTTAAGGACCAAATTAAAGCCCTCTGGGAAACAATACAACTGCCGCCGGAAACAACTAAGACGTCGAGCCAGACCTCTGGTGAAGAAATGGACGACAAATTCAATGATAGCACAAAAAGAATAAAGCTGCCATTCCTACATCAAACGACAACCAATGGTCAGAAGATGAGATACTACTTGTTAATCTTCCAACATCAAACTCTTTCTCCCCTTCAAGATCTACCAGAAAACCCGCCAAGAAAAGAACCACAAAACAAACCTGTAGACACTAATTCGCAGCACCCTCCTAAGTCTCCTGCTACCAACGACACCAATAATTCTAATGAAGTGATCTTTCTATGTGATTCAAATGGAAAGTTTTTAGACATGGAAAAAATGTTTCCTTCAGACCAGGAAGTGAAGTATGTTAGAACTCCACTGATTGAACACGCTAGATCGTACTTACAAAGTCAAATCCACACTGCTCCCCGACTACTCATATTACACACAGGAACAAACGATCTAGAAAGAACCAGTTCTCCTGAAGATCTTATTTCTAACATCTTAATATTGATTACAGAAGCCTCAACGAAATTTCCTTCAAGCAAAATATTCTACTCAACACTTCTTCCCCGCAGCGACATCCCGACACCAATAATAACTTCAATAAACAATCAGTTGATCAGTAGCTGCTCAAGATTACCCAATGTGCAGTTAGTCAAACATGACAACCTCTTTGAGAATCAATCAAATATTCTTTACGATCAGAAACATATTCTTAAACGGTACGTAAAATTTTTCGCCAAAACCTTAAGGACACAATTCGCGGTCGTGCCAGACCAAAACCTACAGTTCCTTCTAATACAATGCCAGCCCAAAGACAAAGATCCTCACAAACTCAACCGACTTCTTCCCAAGGTCCCAAGCCACTATTACATCACACATCATACAGCAATGCCGTAAAGAACACACCACCTCAAGTGCCTCGTTGGCCTCACCTTCTTCAAACTCAACCTCCGCCGTTACCATTTGTCACACCACAACTTCCACAACGAATACCTCCAACACCATTGCAAAATTCACTACATCATGAACCAAATGCCTCAAATAAAGCATTCCAGCTTCCTATGCAAACCCTGCCGGACCAGATACTCCCAGCTCCGCCACCAACTATATCGCATCAATACTCCAAAACACCGCATCAAACGTTTCCACAGGCCGCTAAAATGGAAACCGCAGGTGAAGAAACTCGCCCCTCCAACAAATTAACGGATTCAGCAATGCCTCAGGAAATCATATCCTTTCTTCGTTTTATAAAATCATTTGTATGAACAATTTCATCTTACCCTTGACACTGAATTAAGTATTAATGATAAACTTTATACCAGTATAAAGAGTAATCCATTTATTATTTTCTATACAATCACGGACACCGAAGATAGTCCCGATATTTCAAGCACATTGTCCTTTTGCGCTTGGAATATTAATGGCCTTTCTTCGAAATATCTTGGAAATAAGTTAGATAATGCTGATTTTTGAGTGTTATTAATAACTCCGATTTTATATTGTTAACAGAAATTGGCAACTGCTCTAATCTGGAAATTGCGGGATACAAATCTTTTTTCAATGTCCCACACCAAATCAGTCGGGGAGAGGTGGGCGTAACTCCGGAGGAATCGCTTTATTTTATAAGAACAAATTCCACAAAAACATTTCCATCACTAAAACAACTCAGCATTTTATTTGGTTTAAAATTGAGAATCGTTTTCTAAATTCAGTGAAGAATATTTACGTCTGTGGTGTCTATATACCCCCCTGTAACTCAAAATACTTTGATAACGAAATTTTTGATCAGCTAGAACAAGACATAGTACGTTTTTCTTCGAAAGGATCAATAATTCTCATGGGTGACTTTAACTCGAGAACAGGGAAATACTCTGATACTGTCTCAAAGGAGGGAAACAGTAGAATTAGTAATGATCAGTCGGAATCTGCTTTCCAGCCAACTCAAAGAAACAGTTTTGATAATGTTTTAAATAGCCATGGGAAACGGCTGTTGGAAATTTGTAAAACCTTTGACCTAAGAATAGTTAATGGCAGAGTTAATGGAGATACCCTTGGCAGACCCACTTTTCATGGAAAAAACGGAACGAGCGTTATTGATTATCTAATATGTGATCAGTGTACATTTCTCAACGTTGCAAATTTTGTTGTTAAACAGCCATCTTATTTATCGGATCATAGTGCCATCGTGGCATGGCTCAATCTTAACACCAGGTTAATTGGAGACGAAATGCACCCTCCCAATAGTAGCAATAGATTATCAAAATTACCACGGCAATTTTGCTGGGAAGTTGACTCACATTTAAAATTCAAAAACGCACTGCGCACGGAACCAATCCAAATTCTAATTAGACAATATATGGAGAGAAACACCGAAGATGTGAATATCTCCTTAGAAAACGCTATGAAAATTCTAACTGAGAGCTCCAAGCTATGCCTAAAAATTAAAGCTAAGAAAACTTATAAGCGTATTAAGAAATCATCCAACAAGAAATCGTTCGACTGTGAATGTCGCTTAAAAAGGCATGAATTACGAAAAGTCTCAAATGAAAAGCACCGTGACCCCCTCAACTCCGAAGTGCGGGAAAGATATCACAAAACCTTGAATGATTACAAAAAGCTCCTAGGCACAAAGAAAAGAGGATTCCACAAAGAAAAAACATTACAACTCGACGAACTAGCTTTAAATCCTGACAAGGCGTCATTTTGGAATTGTTTAAATTCGATGAGCAACACTTTCAACGAAAATGTTCCTGCCCCAATCTCGGAAGAATCATGGCTTCACCATTTCAAATCTCTGCATTCTATTGACCCGACGAATTCCACGCATGAACATGAAATCCATAGGGAACTAAATTCTTTAGAACACGAAAAGGAACAGTTTAACCATCTCGATTATGAGATAACTGAGAGGGAAATACGTCAAGCGGCGAAGAAATTGAAAAATAAGAAATCACCATTTGTTGACAAAATACGAAATGAAATGATCAAAGCAAGCCTCGAACCACTAATGCCTGTCTATGTCAAACTTTTTAACCTCATTTTACAATCCGGAAAAATGCCAGATGTTTGGTGTCAAGGCCTCATAACCCCAATTTACAAATCTGGTGACAAGAGTGATCCAACAAATTACAGAGGCATATGTGTTTCTAGTTGCCTTGGAAAACTGTTCTGTTCTATTTTAAATCGAAGACTTCACTTGTATTTTGAGGAAAATAAGATATTACATAATTCCCAAATTGGCTTTTTGCCTGAAAACCGCACTGCAGACCATGTTTTCACTCTAAGGACCCTAATAGATAAATATGTGCATTATCACAAGGAAAAAGTCTACGCTTGTTTCGTAGATTTCCGCAAAGCGTTTGACTCTGTTTGGCACGAAGGATTGTTTTATAAGCTGCTAAAAACGAATATAGGAGGAAACTTGTACAACCTCATGAAAAGTCTTTATTGCAACTCGACATGTTCCATCAAAATCGGTGAAAACAAAACACAGCCTTTTTCATATTCCAGAGGTGTACGTCAAGGCTGTATTTTAAGCCCTCTTTTATTTAACCTCTATTTAAACAATCTACCACTTTTATTCGAAAACACCTTATCTGACCCATTTGTTCTCCCAAATGGGAAAAAAATAAATTCACTTTTGTACGCAGATGATTTAGTTATTCTATCAAGATCGAAAACTGGATTACAGAACTGTTTAAATGCGCTTTCTTTGTATTGTGACAAATGGAAGCTAAAAATTAATCCCAAGAAAACAAAAATTATGATATTCCAGAAACGCCCCAAAAAATCTATTGACATCAAATTCAACATAGGCAGTGAGTCAATTGAAATTGTCCAAGAATACACTTATTTAGGTACACGTTTAACTCCAACGGGAAACTTTACACTTGCACTCGAACACTTAGAAGAAAAGGCCCTTCACGCGTTTTCTAGTATTCGGAAGCGGACAATTCTTAACAAACTTAATCCTAATACTGCATCCCAAATTTTTGACACCATGGTATTCCCAATATTGAGTTACAACAGCGAGGTATGGGGAATGTACACCAAGCAAGATTTTAAAAAATGGGATAGCTCCCCAATAGAAAAAATCCACCTCAAATTCTGTAAACGTTACTTAGAGGTTAACAATAAGGCCTCTAACATAGCCTGCAGAGCTGAACTTGATAGACTGCCGCTGCTTATCCCGATAAATCAGAAAATTATGAAATATTTTGTTTGCCTCAACAACAAAGATAATGACTCTATAGTCAAACAGTCTTTCCTTATGTCAAAGAATCTACATTCTATGAATAATTCCGGATATTTTTCCAATTTCATAAACATGCTTGAACAATACAATCTAACCAGTTTAGATGCTGAATCTCTAGATAATGATAAAATTAGACGATATACCACAGAAATGAGAGAGAAATATCTATCTTTTTGGCGGCACAGCCTCGAAAATTCAAAAAAAAAAAACTAGAATTTTATAAAACTTTTAAAGATGAATATTCTACATCTGATTATCTCTACCAGCTAAGACATTATGACGAACGACAGAATTTTGTTAAATTTAAAATAAGTAATCACAAACTTATGATTGAACATGGTCGATACCAAATCGATCATTTGCCAAGAGAAAATAGATTATGTCCTTTATGTAACTCAAATCAGGTAGAAGATGAGATTCATTTCCTCTTTCAATGTAACAAATACTCAGTACAGAGACAGGCATTTATTACTCAAATCAATCGAATAATACCTGACTTTGACAAGAAATCATCTCCGGAAAGCATAAAACTGATAATGAATTCGAAGGAACATCATGTAAATAAGTTAGTTATGAAGTTTGTCTCCTCCTGCATGAAAATACGTGATTCATTGTTAGTAATGTAACCGAATATTTCTAGATTGTTATTAGTGCTGTTTTGTTTTTTATTTTGATTGTCATATACATGCTTTTGCAATACTGTAAAGTGATGCGGTCATGCAAATAAAGCAATTTATTACTATTACTATTACTACTACTACTACTACTACTACTACTACTACTACTACTACTACTACTACTACTAATCTCAGAGAGAAGAATCAGTTTTAAATTTGCTTCAGTTATACATATATAAAAAAAACAACAAATATTTTCGTGGAGTATTGACTGAAAATGCTTAAAACAGAAGTGTATCAGCCACTTTTTCTGACCAGTATTCTTATTAGCATTGCCCCTGTCAAACGTTTTAGCAAAATTACGTAAAATTCTGTACTTCCATAAAGTCACGCATCTATCGCCGTTTTCCCTCCAGATTACAAGGGTAAGTAAATAGCTCATTCAAAAAATTCGCTAAGATACTGAAAAGTAATAAAAACAAATATCACTTTTTAACAGATTCAAAAACAACTGTCCTAACCTTCACAGCTGCCAGGATGTTTCAAGGTAAAAATTAGTCGATGTAGACAAACTTCTCTTTCAAACAAACATCTGTTGTCGTACGTAGTGCCCTTTGATGAGCAAACGGGTTCTTTGTAAGATGGGCAGCTATCCACACATACACAGCGTGCATCATGGGGTCCAAACGCCTTACAGAAGCTGTGATAATAACACGTAACGTCTATGCAAGGATCCAGGTCTGAAGATAATTAAGCAAATAACAACAGATTAGATTTAAAGTGCCCATACCTTAAAAATTTGTTTTTTAGAATTGAAAATGCACATTACTATGAGAAAGTGCGCGAAAAAAAATTGCTTTGAACACAATGTTATTAAAGAGAATTTTTTGACACGTTCAAATTTACCGCTATTTTGGCACACCATTTGTGCAAGTCTTCACTCGGATCCCTTTCAGAAAAAAAGGGGCTCTGACGTAGATTAAGAAACTATAACGTAAATTAAGGGACACGTGGCTTTAGATGCAAGAAAACAAGTATAGACTCTGCAAAAATTTCGTTTAATTACAAACTGAAACTGCTTTAAGATGCCAATAAGGTGCATTGCAGTTATATGCAACACTGGCGACTCTAAGAAAAGGATAAGAATGCATATGATCCCGTTTTTCAGTTCCTGAATTTTTGTCTTATGACATCACATATGAGCCTATAAATTTCGTGATCAGGAGCACCAGTGTGCCAAAGAAATTTAGTCTTAATAGTTTTCAAAAAAATCTCATTTTCTTGAATACACAAAATTTACTGCGACGAAATTATAGTAGTAACATGTTCTTTCAGTCAACCAAATCTACAATCCCCCAGAATAGAGACAACAAAAAATAACATCAAGTAGAGAAAAAAAGCTCTCCATGAAACAACTTCAAAAGATTCATGTCATAAAATGTACTTGATACACTGCAGCATACAGCCTTCACCAAGGTTTTGATATAATTATTGTTTACGTACCTCCAATCACCAGGTAATCCAGTTGTACGATGTCCTTATAATTGGCGTTATTGCTGTATCTTCTCATACACACCTCGGTTTCGTTTGTAAAGGTATACTAGACACAATCATAAGAAGTATCAGATTATCAATCATTAAGCATCATCAGGTATTTTCTTACCATAACTACTATGTAACTAGGTACACCAAGGTCGTTTAGAAAGCGAAACCGTGGCGTGCACAGGTTGGTTGGAAAAATTGGGAAAAAACAAAACAAAAAAAAACTTTTTTGGACTCCTTAAACGACATGAAAAATTGAAACAGAGACAATGCTAAAAGTAAGTTAGAAGGGAAAAGATAAGAAGGCAGCCGAAGGACGCAACGACTAAGAAAAATGGCTCCAAGTTTCATATTTGTTACCTGAATCCACGCAGTAACTGCGTTACAAGTTGCGGTAGCCGAGAAACGAGAGTTGTTGTTACGGTAACTGAGTCTTGGTGAAACCATTACTACCGGAGGGGCATAGAAAGCATCAGTGAACTTTATTATCCAAAAAAACAAGAAAAGAATCAGCGTTCTGAAGTTTTTCTACACATATGCGGTATATGATATATCTTGCTTAAATAGTTAACGATAACAACATCAGAGCTCCATGAACTTATGAAAGACTTTCTATTTATGAATATAAGTGACTGAGAAACCAAAACAGTATAGTTCATTAGTTACTTTACCTGACAGACAGCGTTGTTTTGTTGCTTGTTTAGTGGTGAGTTATTCTTTGTTGTTACAAGGCCATGGATCAAGGTAAAATTCAGCGTCATCAGCTTAACAAATGCTATCCAGTCCTGAAGGACAAGTGAAAAAGTATTAACAATGTTATCAATATATTCTTTCTCAAGTCAAGGTTGTTTCTAAGAGAAGGGAGCCCATTGCTCTGAACCTGTGTAAATCACAGGGTATCCAACATAGGATCTCTATGATAAAAGCTACGATTTCCTAGTGGGCAAAGAGCAAAGGTAGAGCTCAGGGGCAACTGGGTTCTGCTAAAGCACAGCCCCTGTAAGTTGCAGCAAGGGAGGAACCGCTTGGTTGTCGTGTGAGTCTACTTTCAAACATGTAACAGGTAACAAAAGGAATTCACTTACCACCTTGATGTTTTTAGGCAGACCATCAAAAATCTTAGTTTCCCTGAGGCAAACCTTAAAACTGTCTCTGCGTACATCCTCTACCCACAAGGCCAAGGCGTCCTGAGGTCTCTTGAGAATTTGGTGACGAGCTGTTACGTAGATGCTCGGAGGAATTGAGAAACGCTGAAAAAGTAAAAGCGAAAAAAAAAAATAATTAATTACATTTCTTTTTCAAACAAACAAGGGTATGATATAAAACGATGGAAGAGTGATAGAAAAAATCATTTTGAACTTGAAAGAAGCAAATTGGATGGAATTTCCTAATGCAGATGAAAAACAACTAAGAACAGTTTTACGAATTAAACACAGAATTTGCAAATCAGCAAATAAAACGATAGTCATGAACCTGGCAACGTAGATACAAAAGGAATCGAAATATAGACTTTCTCACTAAATTTTTTAGAGCAAAAATTAGCAAAAATATGAAGATTGTTAAAGCTTTTAAAGATGTATTAATGTAAATAAAAAAATTGACATGATCAAGAAAAGTGGAGGACAGATTGCAAGATAACTTTGATGGAAGAAAATAGAGGTAGCGATATATGTAAGATCTTGGTAAACGAATAAATAATCGTATTTTATAATGCAACAACGTTATATCGCATGACTTAAAGATATAAGGAAGAAGTCAAATGGAAAGTCCGCAGCTCCTACGAGCTAAATAAAGAAAGAGGAAGTTAAAGCCACTCAGTCAAGCAAAGCTCAAAAAATAACGTAGTGAAATCTTGTGTCTAGGTTTGAGCAAACAGAAATACCTAAATCAGTAAAACTATTAACTTAACGAAAACGCAAGGGGAAACAGCGGTAGCCTTTTCAAAGGCGATCCTTTTACACTTTTCTCCAGTAGTCCAAGAATCCAACGAGACGGTGTCTAGTTGAGCGCCAACAGGAACAGATTGCAGCGCCATCCAGTTCACTTTCGTAGTCCCACTAGAACCATCTCCGTACTCTAAAACACAAACTGTAAATTCTTTATTATCCACAGATTCCACCCAAATAGCCGCGCCATCTCCACCACTATAACTGTTTGTTGTGTGGCTTTTGGAAACGAAAACTTTCACATCCTGCCCGCCATTGAAAGGCTTCTCAAAGGAAACCTTTTCACACGCAAACAGACCAGGAGTAGTAATGGTGAAATTGCATATTCCAGTTTTGATACTTATCGCTGGGAAATACAAAAAAGTAAAAATAATAAAAATAAGTTGCAAAACCGAAATACAGAGATGAATGATCTCTTTTATACCTTCAACGTCTTGGTTAGTAGGTAGACCTATGAAGAAGAAAGCCAACAACCAGTGTACACGGACTTCTTGCACGGTAAACATCTTGCGTCAAATGGCGAAAAATCCACTCGGTTGAACATTATACCTCTTAGAAATACGTGACAATGTGGTCCAACTTGTTTTTACGTGTTTAGTAGATGTCATTTGCTCTGTTTGTGGGGGTAGGGGGTAAAGATCTTTGAGATAGTTGATTGTAAGATTTATGCGGAAACTTAGAACTGAAACTTCTAATTACCGTCTCCAGCTTGCGACCATTAAAACTGACTGACATTTTTATCCTCTTGCACCCGAATTGTAAATGATCTAAATCATCATCCGTAGACTTGTATTTCTGTCGTGGAGTGAGGTAGAATACATTGTTTTCTAAAGTCTCCCACTAACTCTTCCAAATTCAACTCAGGGGAAAAAGGAAAATTTCGTCGTCACTATCCATTGCCGCTCTCACAAGTGTACTGGCCCCCCCAAAAATACCAAGACAAAAATAAAAAAAAACAAAAGGTTTGAAATTTGATTGTTGTCGGCTTAGCAAACAAACAATGCGCTATTGTTCTCCGTTTCTCACGTAAGTGAGAACAAGTGGTTTGATCAAAAATTATGACCCGTGAAACGCCCTTTCTCGATACTGTGTGAAAACCTTTACAATACTTACAATGAAATACGTCATTGTCTGCGGTCGGATCAAAAAATGACAAACAAACAGATGTCAAAAACAAGTGGCCAATTATTGCCCTGTGAAAGACGACCTTTATGTAACCTATACCTCATGAAAAATATCATGAAATAAGTTAGATAAACCCCTCGAACGTCGGTATTAATCTACGGCTCTCGGGATGTATATGGCTTAATACCTCTGTTCTCGGGCTTTATCTCTTACATAAAGGCAAAAAACACAACAACCCACTGAGGAATGCTGGAATTTGTGTGAACCTAGAGCACTTATAATCTTGAATAAGAAATAAACCAAACGAAAATTATATTATTTGTTTTATGTGGCCCAAAATTTTGACAGACAGTTGTCAGGTTAGGTCTCCGCCACGAAATTGATAGCCGACTTCATCTTATCCATGATCCAAGCTTTACTGAATTATTTTGAACCTGATTCTTAAATTATTTTATTCACCAACGCCACAACAAATGTTAATATTTTGATTTAAAGATAATCTAGGGTGAATTTCGACCACAGAAAACTTTCCTGTTCTATGTTATACTTAGATAATTAAGTCAGTCTTACGAACACGAAAACTCCATCGAAACAAGCGGGCGGGAAGGTTCCATCTTGCCTCACTGAGGTGTAGCTTGTTACATATTATATAGCGAAGGATTTACGTCACCCCGGCCAGTTTACAGAGCAAGCAATGAAGCAAGAGATATTCATTGAAAACATTTGCGATTTAGTTATGTGGCATTAACAAGTTGTTAAGATTTGCATTTCAATTTTCAGTTTATCGAGTCTGCACACTTTTTTATTTTCTTGCATGTACATTTAGGTTGCTTATAATTTCTGAATATTTGCCTAAAATTAAAATTTCCATGGCTTTTATTAGAAGCAACGCTTTCGTCGAGAAATTAACCAAAGTATTAAAAGACAAACACTTTCCTCTTACTTTTGAATGCTTGATATTGATACGCTGAATTTCATTTACCCATTACAGACCGAGACATTTATACTGAGATCCGAAAATTGTAATCAGGATACTTGATTAAAATTTAGTTCGCATAAGACCACGCAACGATCTTTAGAATTCTGCTAAGCCAGCGTATTATACTCCTCAACGCCGAAAAAAAGAAAGAAATTTCAAGGACTCGGTACCGGTAAGGCCTCTAGTCGCATTTGAACCTTGCGGGTAAAAACCTTTATTGTTTAGACTCAGAGTGGTCCTCTAAATTGTCTAACCTCGACTTAATTTAATGTTTCGCTATAAAGTTTGCGATTCAAGGGAATTATCCTCTTTCGCCGTATTTCTCCTTCATAGCGACCTCAACATAGGTTTGTTACCCCATGTTATCTGAAGACGAACGACTTCCGCGAGACAAAGGTAAATAACTCCCGGGGGGCACTTGGGTATTTTTTAGGTGGGTATGTGCCGCCCGGGACTCCAAATTGGCACCCCGTTCTAAATACAAATTCTCCTAAAATTGATACCCCGTTCTAGAAATGGGCCGAGTTTTTTGTACCCCGTTCTAGAATTCGCCCTAAAACTGATACCCCGTTCTAGAAATGGGCCAATTTTTTATACTCCGTTCTAGAAAGTTTGTAAATTGAAATAGCCCTGTTTTTTTAAAAAGATATTTCTTTATTTGTTCGACTTATACATCAAATAAATGCTTCTTCATAATCAGCAACAATTTCAAGCAGAAGATAAAGCCGTGATCCACAATTTTTTATACCCCGTTCTAGAAAACGCCTCTGAAATGGATACCCCGTTCTAAATCAGGAGCTTCCAAATCACGACCCCGTTGGGCGGCACATACCCGTATAGGTAATGTATGGGAGTACCCCCCCCGGAAATAACTATTCTCCTTCCAACGCGTTGTCTATCTCAGAAACCATGAAGAGGTCCAATGATTTGTTATTTTCGTTCTCTTTTTCAAAAGGGGGAAATATTGATACAGATAAGCATAGGTTACAAAAGGTACGTTCAAAATATTAGTTATTCTTTTCAGTGGTAAATCCAAGATATGCCGGAGTTAATTTTCCCCTTTGTACAGATGTTTATTTTACATAGTGAAAACATGGCAAATTATGTAAGAATCGCTGCCTAAACATTTGTTAAATTTCTGTTAAAAGACAATGTGTAATCTAATTTCCGTTCCTTTTTTCTATTGCAATATTATTATGACTTAAACTTCAACTTTTTTTTAGGCTAAAAAAAATAGATTATTGTAGTTTAGTGATAATTACCCGATCTATTTATATATTTGCATGACATACGGGACATTTGGCTAGACCGTGGATATTTACTACTGGTATGAAAAGTGAAAATATGGGAAAACCGCCGCAAAAAAACCTTCTCGATCTATGAGCGCCTTTACATTACGAATAAATGTCGTTCATTTCTATCGCCAATACAACTAATATAAGCACTGAAAATCACAGTTACACGGTTGGTTGTCCCTCAAGATACCACTCACCTTATGATTACTTCCTGATATCTCTGTTTAGAACTTTGTAATAAAACGAAGAATAACCTTCGTCTTAACTTTGTCGAACAGGCTGATAGCCTGAAAAATTAACCTAAACTTTCTTAGTCAGAACTAATTTTCGGACGTAGTGCGGTGCATTTCATCACGCAGTCAAGAGTGTACAAAACGTCACGGTGAACTCAACCTATAATGTGCTCATTTTATACATTGAAATCAAACATTTGTTTAGTCATGCCGAAAAATTAGGGTATTTTCACCATGTCAATTCAACGTGGCATTTGCTCATCGGCTTTTTTTTTCCCGAAGTAGGTGTCAGTCTAGATTCCAAAACGTTTTGAGTCATTCTACTCCGGTAAAAGATTGAAAGTCTTTGGGGTTTCAAATATATGTTAATAAAATGCAAAAAAAATAGAAAGGATTATATTTTGATATTTTTTTACAATAACTGAATTATATCTCGCACGCTGATTGGCTAATTGTAATTATCATTAAGAGGACAAACATAAAATTTTAAGTTTTATAATGCAAGACGCGTTGATTTGGCGAACGAATGCCGACCTTCGGTGTTTTTGCTTAGTTTAGTTTCGTAGGAGATTCACTTTCTGTTCTCTGAGAATAATAGCCAGAAAGTTCTGATGCAAGACTTGCATCCCGTTTGGATTCTCTGCTAAAAGCTTAAGCAGAGGAAACTAAACAAGACACTTAGTTTCCAGAAGCGGGGACGACTTGCTAGAAATGGTACAATTTCAAAACTGCGATTTAATGTTTAATGTTTTTTAATGTTCGTAAAAAGTTAAAAAAGTAAGAAAACAATTCTGAGAGTCGACTAGTTTATTAAAAATAAGCACATTTAGTTTTCGGTAGTTTTCTTTTGACAAGTACTGAGTGTTTTTCTGATCCTTTTTTCCGAAAGCAAAACAAACTTTTTGTACAAACTTTATGAAACTTTGTAAGTACCTGGTAAGTTGAATTTAAAACTTCATGACTATAATACCCACCTTTCGGTTTGATTGTACACAGCTCATATAGCTGAATGGCATTCATTACGACAAACAAGTCGAGAACTGAAGTAAACAACCAGCCGTACACGATTTCTGTTCGTACTGATCGGTTAACAACTCTTCTAAACTGCCAGGCTAGTTTGATCTACTGACAGTTTAACCGTACATTGCTTTGACTTGTTCGTTTACTTAAGCGGCTCCAAAATCTTTCCTTGGAATAATATTTAACCTTGGGCTAGTTTACGACTTTATAAAGCCCTAAAATTCCTCCGTTTTTCTAGGCAATAAACATTGCTGATCTCATTCTTGTTTGAAGTTTGCAAAACAAATTTACGCAGGGCAGTGATGTGACTCAACCTGTCAAATTTTTAGTCAATAAAACTCCGTTACTTGTTATCAGTAGCCAATCACCAAGGGAAAGTTATTGACAATAACATTGCGCTAGTTTAAACAAGAGGACGACCGAAGGCGTTTACGCGGGATGTGTTGGTGTAAGAAAGAATTACCGTTATGATGAATGGAAATGGAAAGTTGAGTAGTGTATGCAACAAATGTGTGCAGGAGAGACGCAGATGTTCTGTTAAGGACTAATACACTAGAAGATGAGTGTGGGGGTGTGTTCGAGCAACTCGCTCGCTACACGATGAGGTACCAGGAATCTGATTTACATCTTGGCCTTTATTCTTCTTAATCTTTTTACAACTTCTGCTTACTCTACTTCTCCCTACTTTTCCTACTCTACCTAGTTCAAGTATAGTAGCGGTTTTTAATAGCCAAAGCTGGACATGTTTGGGTTAACTGACCGGAAGAGTTTCTATTGTATACCTTATCGCTAACATTGTAACAGGTTTGCTGTTTTCAGGGAATAGATTAGCTTACGCACAGCTGCAGCTGATA